TCCGCGCCATACACCAGCACAGGCATGATGAGTGACTTATAGAGTGTGATCTTTGTACGACGAGAGAGGACTTTACTTCTCAATTGCCTACTCAGCCCAAAGTAGCACTTGTTGGCAAGAGTGATTCTCCGTTGGATTTCAAGGCTGACATTATTATTGGTGTTAATGCTGGTTCCCAAATAAACGAAGTCGTCTACTTTTTCAAACTTGTAACTGTCAACAGTGACGTGGGTGCCAAGACGCGTATGCTCTGACTATTTGTGTGATATATCCAGATACTTCGTTTTGTCCTCGTTCACCACCAGACCCATTCGCTTTGCTTCTCTATCCAATCCCGAGAAGGCAGAACAGACGTAGCCCTTGTTTTTACCGATAATATCGATGTCGTCGGCATACGCCAGCAATTGTACGCTCTTATAAAGTATTGTGCCTGAGCGGTTCAGTTCTGCGGCTCTTATTATCTTCTCCAACATAAGATTAAAGAAATCACACGAAAGGGAGTCCCCTTGTCTGAAACCTCGTTTGGTATCAAACGGCTCGGAGAGGTCCTTCCCTATTCTGACGGAGCTGGTGGTATTGCTCAACGTCATTTTACACAGCCGTATTAGTTTCGCGGGGATACCAAATTCAGACATCGCGGCATAAAGGCAACTTCTCTTCGTGCTGTCGAAAGCGGCTTTGAAATCGACAAATAGATGGTGTGTGTCGATCCTATTCTCGCGGGTCTTTTCCAAGATTTGGCGTATTGTGAATACCTGATCTATGGTGGATTTTCCAGGCCTAAAGCCACACTGATAAGGTCCAATCAGCTCGTTGACGGTGGGCTTCAGTCTTTCGCACAATACGCTCGATAAGACCTTGTAACCTATGCTTAGAAGGCTGATTCCGCGGTAGTTGGCGCGTATGGCGGGGTCGCCTTTCTTGTGGATTGGGCAGAGCACACTTAAATTCCAGTCGTCGGGCATGCGTTCATCTGACCATATTCTGCATACGAGCTGATGCATGCACCTCATCAGCTCCTCGCCGCCGTACTTGAATAGCTCGGCTGACAGGCCGTCAGCTCCAGCAGCTTTGTTTTTTTTCAACCGCGTAATCGCTATTCGTACCTCGTCATAGTCAGGCGTTGGGACAGCTACTCCATCATCATCGACTGGGGACTCGGGTTCGTCTTCTTCACTACTTTCAGCGCTGCTACCATTCAGTAGGTTGACTCCAGAATATGATCAGCTCTTAATTATAACTATGTCGTCGGAACTTATACAATAGTGAAATATATTTTTTAACATAGATAAGTAACCAGTGTATAAAATTCCTTAAAAAAAAATTCCAACTAATTTCTGAGTTCTTTGTAACTATTTTTAGAATGAATGTGACTGGTGGGACACTGAAAAATCCTTCTGTTTTACCTTTGTACACTCAAAGACTAATTTTAGCCAAACTACTTAGTTTTTTAAGGCAGATTTTTCTACGTTGTAAAATATATACTATACTCTTTCGTCTTCATTAAAAACTAGGCCGATATAACCATCATAGACATATTAAAGAATATTGAAAGTTGTGACTGGTGGGACAAGTACAAAATTAGGTAAAACTGAAATAAGTTTTGTCATTGTTTTGAGCTTTATTAATGTAGTTATTTATAAATTTTAACATGCAGCATTAAATAGAAACCAGCAACTGCAAGCAAAAATAATATAAATAAAATAAACAAACAATTTAATAACAAAATCTCAATAAACTCTATTTGGGGCATTCCATGTAAAATAGGTAAAATAGGAAAACGACATAAATTTTAAAATTCCGTTATTTATCTATATTTCTGTAGTAAGATATAGCTAAATGACTATATGTCATTAATCTGTTGAAAAATATTAAAAAATAAAAAAATACTGTATTTTTATCTATGGAAAGTTTTTCTTCATACATAGCTACCTTTGGGATAAATTTTGATTCGGTTAGCATCGCACTTCTCGGCTATTTTGTCAGTTGTATAAAGCAGGCGCGTGCATTTTACATAAAGCGGAGAAAATTCTAAAGTACTACAAAAAAATAAAGTGTAAAGGTGTGCAGGTTTTTGTGTCCCACCAGTCACGCAAAAATACATAAAATTTGTTTTCCTAACCTTAAATATGACTTAATGAATTCAGTTATTTCTAGAAGTAACAATAAACAAGTGGTGTACTATTTTAACATCTTTTAATAGTTAAAATGGTCATATTGTGGTTTTGAGACTGTTTTGAAATATGTCCCACCAGTCACATGTGACTTAACTTGAATATGCTTCGCCTAACTTGAACTTGATTTGGGTGATTTTTCGCTTCCTTTAGATGAATGCCACAGAGTGAAAGAGGAAATCTCGGGAGAAGATAAAGGAGGACAAGGATAAATGGAGTATAGCTCATGAAAAACAAAAAGAGTAGACTAGAAGAAGTAGAGAAAAAAATCGACGTGAGTGGGAGCAAAATGAGGAAAAGAGAATATGCTTCAGAGAAAAAGAAAGATTGCCTAAAAGAAAGCAAAGAGAGCACAAATAGTGGCAGTACAAAAGACAAGCAGTTCGTCGCTAGGGTCATACAAATCCTTGAGTACTTTGAAAAAAGCAGTTGTAAAAGCCAAAAAAGCTCTGCCTCAAAGTCCCACTAAACAGACAGCAGTTTTGTGGCTGTGGCTGTGTTGCATGAGGAGCCTCAAAATATTGGAAGCACGCATAATACGGATGAAGTTAAAAAAAAGTTCAAGCTTTCTACGAAAAAGATCACATCAGTCGTGCTTCTCCTAATAGAAAAGATACAATGTCGGTAAAAGAGGTGCAATCGGGTAAACGTATGCAAGTAGCTAAGATGCACATGATGATGACAATCGCTGAAGCGTATCCGTTATTTGTTATTGACAAGCCTGATATCAAACTCGGTAAGAGCAAATTTTTTGAATTCAGACCCTTACATGTGAGACCAATGAACGAAATGCCACACAACGTTTGTGTTTGTATTCATCATGCAAATTACAATTATCTGATAGAGGCTTTAAACAAGATTGTGCCAACAGTTCCAGATTCTTCCAAAGAATTTCTAAAAAAAATTACTTGTAACGTATCAGACGAAAAGTGTATGACTGGGGAATGTTCGAGCTGTAACGTAATTTCGGATATTCTTCCACTAGCATTAGATACAATATTGAAGGCAGCATGGAAACAGTGGCAATCTATCGAAAATAGATTCCAAATAATAAATGCTCCTGGAACCGTAAAAGATCTTATAAAAGAACTCGATAGTAAAACACTCAAGTTCAAGTTGCATGTTTTTGTAAAAAACGAACAATATAAATACTTTGAGACAAAAATTAAAGAAAGTACGCAGGAAGAAGTAGTACTTCAAATCGAATTCGCAGAAAATTTTGCTATTCTAAATAACAAAATCTCAATAAACTCTATTTATTAAAATCAAAATTAAGGAACCTTCTTTTCCGCAACGAAAATAAGAGTAAATTATCATCATTAATTAAAAACTTCTTTAAAACCATTAATATTTTTCAAAAAAGTTAACTTTTTCTGTTTTGAAAACTTCCAGTGCCGGAATCGGTTTTTGCGTTTGTTTTTTGCCCAACCTAGAGCTTTTTTGGCTTTTACAACTGCTTTTTTCAAAGTACTCAAGGATTTGTATGACCCAAGCGACGAACTGCTTGTCTTTTGTACTGCCACTATTTGTTCTCTCTTTGCTTTCTTTTACGCAATCTTTTTCTCTGAAGCATATTCTCTTTTCCTCATTTTGCTCCCACTCACGTCAATTTTTTTCTCTACTTCTTCTAGTCCACTCTTTTTGTTTTTCATGAGCTATACTCCATTTATCCTTGTCCTCCTTTATCTTCTCTCGAGATTTCCTCTTTCCCTCTGTGGCATTCATCTAAAGGAAGCGAAAAATCACCCAAATCAAGTTCAAGCTAGGCAAAGCATATTCAAGTTAAGTCACATGTGACTGGTGGGACATATTTCAAAACAGTCTCAAAACCACAATATGACCATTTTAACTATTAAAAGATGTTAAAATAGTACACGTGTTTATTGTTAAAACAAATTTTATGTATTTTTGCGTTACTGGTGGGACACGCGAAATGCATCTGTTAAAAAAAGAAATACACAAAAACCTACACACCTGTACACTTTATTTTTTTGTAGTAATTTAGAATTTTCTCCGCTTTATGTAAAATGCTCGCGCCTGCTTTATACAACTGACAAAATAGCGGAGAAATGCGATGCTAGCCTAATCAAAATGTATCCCAAGGGTAACTATGTATGAAGAAAAACTTTCCATGGATAAAAATTACAATTTTTTTTTTTAATTTTTTAATATTTTTCAACAGATTAATGACATAGTCATTTAGCTATATCTTACTACAGAAATATAGATAAATAACGGAATTTTAAAATTTATGTCGTTTTCCTATTTTACATGGAATGCGCCAAAGATAACTACGTAAAATAAAGCTGGAACGAAAAGCTTTATTTATTTTTCAAACAAAATACTTTAACAAAAATCTAGCAAAACGAAACAAAATTTACCTTTATACCATCCCAAATTTTTCTAGAAATTTTGGTAATAATATACCAAAGTGGAAACCCTGGTTGAGATTAAGATAATTGTTCATTATTATGCAGAAAACATACTCATGCAATTGGTGAGCTGTGCGGTTAATAGGAAGAAGGAAGCTTCACTTCAGTCGCACGTGGGATCCACACACCATATCCTTTTGTTTTAAACTTCAGTTCAGATACAGCTTTCTTGGAGGATGCGTCGAATTACGTATTTTTAAGATAAAACATTAAGTTAATCCATTTATATTTTAATTCCGAGATACGCATATTTTAATATATATATAGATACTATAACATATAAACTCTTGTGTCCTGGGTCTTCTCTTTTCAGTTCTTTTCCCTCGACATACTAGCAAGGAGACACGGGGTAACACCATTAATCTAATACACATGTTCCGAGATTATTTACACTATCATATTAAGGCAAGTTCGGTGCAGTAATGGTGGGCCATACTTTTGAGATTAAATACAAAATTACTGACTTTAATTTTTCAGTGTTCAAAAGCGTACATTCATTCTAGAATGCGCGCAAAAACTTCAGACTTCCTGAAAGTACTTAATCGTGCCAGACCGGAAACGAAAAGTACGGAAAAGAAAACAATAACGTAAGTTGATAAATTTTATATTTATTTGACTAAAATTTTTTTCATATAGTGTGTCATATAAGCGCGTAAATGCCTGGCAACCACGTAAACCTTGTAAACTTACTTAATTTTCTATGGAAAACTGTTTTATTTACGAGGTTTACGGTTCTACGAGGCATTTAAACGTTTAGATTAGAGATGGGCGCGGGATATCGGGACCCACGGTACTGATTTCAAAATGGCCGGGATATGTAGTATCGGGAAGGTCCGTAAAAATTTTGCGCGTGGGACGAGACCAAAATCCTTTCCCGCCACTCCCGTTAAATTCACAATCTCCATAATTTCAGAAAATCTTCTTTAAAAATTTTGTATGGAATATGCACTTTTTTATGTTTTATTGAGACGAAAACGAACAACAAAGCGAAACGAAATAGTTGGAAGGTGCCAGAACTTTAATTTTCGTTTTCCTTGAAAACGTTGTGTAACAAATGTAGTTAACGAAGCGATATTCTGCCGAAATCTGCAATAAAATCAGCATTTTGTAAACTTTAGTCCTACAATTGGCACGCCCATTTTTAGGGGTTTGTCGCCTTAAAGAAAAATCTTGCCGTACAAATATTATACCTGGATACATAGGTATTCTATCGGAATCTGCAATAAAATTTAAATTCTTGCAAAAACACGATGTTTAACACCTTAGTAAATATATCTCAACATAAGTTTTGGAAAACAAATAACAAAAATTGTTGATTCTCACGAAATAAACCATCTCGTCATAAAAAAAAAAATATTCTAAAAACAGTTCTTGAAATTTACTGGTCTTCACTATGCAAATCAACTTCAAAAAGTTCAACTGTTAATAGCCAAGTTAGCTTTAGCACAATCTTGACCATCTTATATATAAAAATATTAAGCCCGTTTCTTTAGCTTTAAGACGGCGTTAAGATGAAGTCTCTAGATGGGCAGAACCCGAGATATAACGACTTGAAGCAGGACATGATTAGTCAGAATCGCGAAAAAATGCAAACTTTGACAGATCATATCTCCAAAGAAAAAAACAAAACAAAAATTCCTCGAACACGTGTTAGATTGGGCTTGTTAGAGTTGCAATCAGAACCGCATTGTTGCGCGAATTATTAAAGTATCACGTTCTGTGTGAATTTCTAGCAATGTATTATTAGTTGGGCAGTTGCAAAAATGTTGCCATTTGTTATCAGTACGGCAGTAATGCCGTTTTTATTACGTGCTACGAACAAGTCCCTTAAGTCATGTATAGAACCCATAAAAAAAATTTGAAGCCAATCGAAAGTGTGACACCAAATTTGGTGACCGCTATGAAAAATAATGAATTTTTTTTATGTTTTATTGAAACGAAAACGAACAGCAAAGCAAAACAAATTAGTCGGAAGATGCTACGTTTTTTAAATTTTTTTTAATTTAAAATTAATTTGAAAGTCGTGTGAATTTTTTCTTTGTGATAGATTTCGGGACCCACAGCACCCGCGGTACAATTCTGAAAAACTTCGGGATGGGCGGGTTCGGGACTTAAGATTCAATACTAGTAGGTCCCGTTCCCATCTCTAGTTTAGATGAATTCCCATAAGGGTGATTCAAAATTGGAACTTTTTCGAATTTGGACTAAGGACATTCGGTTTCTTGAAGATAAGAGGCCTTCTACAATTTCCGCTTATTTGAACAAGATTTAGAGGTCGCTCAACGCTGTTGTTTGTTTTCCGGAGACAACAGATATTAAATGCATCTTTATAAACAAGTAGGTGTATTTTCATAAAGTCTTGTCGGATTTCGCTGAAATTTCGTAGGTATATTCCAAAATATCAGTTTATTGGAACACAATTTATATAAGTTCGACAAATTAGTTTTTATCATATTTATTAATTAGTAACTAAGTTTTGCTTTATAGACAATTAATATTTGCAATATTTTTTTTGTTCCTTAACCAGTATATGTAGTATACATCTAAGATCACATTATAATTCATATCAATAGTGGACCTCATCATTAAATATTATTAAACATCAAATAAAAAAACACCACATAAATATCACTCATACGCCATGTCGAATCCAGGTGTTTTCCTAGTTATTGTAAATATTAATAGTATAATAAAAATATTTTGGCGCTTACACCTTTGGCAAGTGTTTGGCCGAGCTTCTCCTCAAATTTGTGGTGTGTGCCTTGATGTTGTCACAAAAATATAAGTATTTTAGAAGAATGTTTTTACAGAACTTAATTGAAGAATGGCAAGTGGTTAGCAATGCGCGCTATCACTGCGCAAGGCCTGGGTTCAAGCCCTGGTCAAAGCAACATCGCAAAGAAAATATAGAAAAAGGTTTTCTTCGCTATCATTACAAATAACAATTAGTTCATTTTAATTGTGGAGGTCCACTATTGATATGAATTATAATGTGATCTTAGATGTATTTAGGATATGCTCAGTGGTTAAAGAATAAAAAAAAAATTATTGCAAATATTAATTGTTTATAAAGCAAATCTTAGTTACTTACTAATTAATAAATATGTTTAAAACTAATTTATCGAACTTATATAAACTGTGTTCCAATAAACTGAAATTTTGGAACCTACCTACGAAATTTCAGCGAAATCCGACAAGATTTTATGAAAATATACTTACTTGTTTATAAAGATGCTTTTAAAATCTGTAGTTTCCGGAAAACAAACAACAGCGTTGAGCGACCTCTAAATTTCTCTAAATCTTGTTCAACTAAGCTGAAATTTTAGAAGGAACTTGTTTTCACTCTTATCTTCAAGAACAGGAATGTTCTCAGTCGAAATGCAAAAAAGTTCCAATTTTGAATCTCTCTAATACCAAATATTTTATAACTTGTGAATGTGCCAATATTTTTTCGATGGTCGAGCTTTTGTTGTGGAACTCATTTTTTTCTGGTTCACAACCATAAAAAATACCACTTTGACAATTTTTCGAAATTCGAATTATTTTCGGAGCTAAAGCTATACTGGCGACCAGGCATAACACTACCAACACTATTTTTTTATAAAGAAATATACGACCTCTAAGGATTTCGATGAAAGTTGAAGAGATTGAAGGTCTAGGTGACATGAATATACGTGCAGCATATTTTGCCGATATGACATAGGGTTGCCTATTTACACGGGGCTTGAATTTTAAGAAAACGTCATACATACCTTTCTTTAAAGTGCTGTATCTTGGAAACCTTTTAACGAAACTTAATGAACAAAAATTTATTTCTTCCGTCTTATTATGGGCTTTAATTAAACATTTTTTACATAAAGGGCAACATATAAAAAACAAAAAAAAAAGTAAACATTTTCTTTTTGATTTTTTATAGCATTTTGAAAATCTTTTATTTTTACATAAAAACATTGTCTATAATGCCAACTTTAAGTACCTAAATGGGCATAATGGGCTAAATACTTAGGCGTATGGACTCTAGATCGTCTAACGCTCGAGCAATGTGATAAATAGACATTGCAATTTTGTGAAATTGTCTTTTTTTAAACGAGGAAAGGGGTGTAAAAAACAAAAACAATATGTATAAATCATATTAACTTTACAAAAGGGTCTGAAATCACGAAAATCCCTTCAAGGAAATGGCAGAATTGAACTTTGTTGCAAGTTCAAATGGGAAATCTGCTTGCGACGGGATTCGAGGAAATTTTAAGCCTTCTACCAATGGAGTAAGAATAATTTAGAGAAAAAGAAGGTGCTGTATGTTTCCAATGGGATGTCTGTAAAAAATAACTGCAACTAACTTTACAGTGGACTTTATTTCGACTATGACTACGTGCCAATTACTTTAATCCTATATTAAGCTAGTTTAAAAGGTTAAATAACATCAAGTTAGGGAACTTCATATACTTCTTAAACAAATCTTTAAATCAATAAATAATTTTTTTCTTTTTAGTTCTTAGTTTATTAAAAGCGTGTTGTTGGTTTTTTTAAACTATAATTTTGTTATTCATTAGGTTTGTTTTTTTACACTCCTTTCCTTTTTCTTGTTTTAATAAAAGGACTAACCTTGAAGCTATCATTGGAGTCGGATATTCTTTTGCAATGAGTGTTTTTGGGCGTTCCTGGAATATATTGTGTGTTTGCGAATCTATCTTGAAGCTTTTGCTTAACTTCATTTTAGTCACTCTTGGACGCATACAGCACCTTGGTTTTCTCTAAATTATTCTTACCCCATTGGTTGTTGTTGTTGTTGTCGCAGCACACAAGTCCCCATTCCCCACTGAGTTTTTGACAGTCCTTGGCCAGATATAAATCTGGGTCGTTCCGGTTACGTAGACCCGACTGTCGTGGGAACGTACCCCCATGCCGCACGTAGTATATTCATGTCACCTAGACCTTCAATCTCTTCAAATCTTCATCCAAATCCTTAGAGGTCGCGCACAGAAGTGGCCGCGGTGACATGAAATGCCTCTATAGTCAACGCTATAAGAAAAACTAAATAAATACAAGTTTCAAACTTTGTCCAAAACTTACACTGACCGCCAGTGTATTTACTTTTTCGAAATTGCTTGGATTTTATTTATTTTCTCCAGGTTGTTTATACCAATTCTGCTTATTAAAAAAAAAAAGTTAAATACCTTGCTTTCCACGCATTTTTATTTATTTTGTCTACATTTTTTTGGTGGTTATTAGCAATTTTTAAAATATTCTGGACTGCTCAATCGCTTTAACACTAGAGAGATCAAAGCCGTCAAGAGACCACATTCACGTTTTTGATAGAACATATTAACATAGCTATTGCATTTGAATCGTTTTCGATGAGTTTGAATAATTCCACTTTGTTTACGTTATTCTTATATAAAATAGTGAATATTCTAATTGAAAACCATAAAAGAAGCAGCAGCGATATGAAAGAAATCATTTTAATGCGAGACTTGTAAATTTTTGTGTTAAAAACCATCGAAAAAATTATCGAAATCGAGTCGATCTCAAATTTTCGAATTTCAGAACATGCCTGTATGGTTCAACATTTCTGAAGTGGGCCCGAAATTTTTTTTGGCGACATTTTTGCAAGTTATATTAAAAAGCTTTGCAACAAGTACCAACTATACAATACTGATTTTTTTTAGTTCGTAAAAATAAACAAGGAACCGTAATTGCCTACAAAAAATAATTGTTCAGACTAGTTTTTTTTTCAAAAGTATAATATACAATAATACTACTTATACCAAAGTTAGCAAAATCCATCAAACAAACTGTAAATAATTTTTTTTTTCAAATTAGATGTTTAAAAATTGTTTATACAATATCTCTTGAAAAAATTTAAATTTTGCAAAACCGCTTTAGGGTAAAATTTTTACCCGAAAATACTATAAGATTATTGATATAACTTCCAAAATTGTCGCTTTAAAAATCAGTGGCCCCACTTCAGTAATTTTGAGCCGTATGTATACTAATAGATGTTTTTGAAAAATAATTACCTATGTGTGGGTGATTGAAATTATTCATTACTTTTATACATTCTCACACAAATAAAATATTACAGCTCGTAATACGTAATTTATCCGCTCTTGGTAATTAAAAATTTCCGACTTTCTAATGCACCAGTGGGTAGTTGAACGAAACGTACATATTTACTGAATAATAAATTAATTCATTACTTTTAAAAATTTGTGTTTTTTGAGATTTCATCATACAATTAATTAACATGATAAGGAGAATATGTTCGGTCTAACAGATAAATAAACTTACCAACAATGGCGAAGATATGGGTCTTTTCAACTGTCTTTTTGTTTACCAACTGTATGAGTTTATCAAACTTTGATTACAATCATTACACATAACACAGCTTTGCAACAAGCTCATTCCAATCACGAGAAAATAAACAAAATCCAAACAATTTCGAAAACAATTATCACCTATAATAAGTAAATTATAAATGGTCAAATTCCACAAACAAAGCTCGACCTTGGAAAAAAATTTTTGGCACACTTTACAAATTTCGACTCATTTGGAACTGTAACATAATTTTACGTTTTTTGTTTTTGCAGGGGGAGAACATTCATTCGCAAGGATTAAATTGTGGACAATGTCTAGTTGCTTTTATATCCGTATATTAATTACACTGGATTACAAATTTTAGTTAGGTTTTTGTTCTCCAGACGCCACTATCCAATTTCAATGTAGAATTGCCCGGTGATTCCGAAAATCGAGTAAATTTTTTTCTATGGATACGTTTTCAAGATATTTTCAAGTTACCGTTATTCAGCTCAAAACATAAAGTAGTTCCACTTAATCACGCATATCTTACGAACCAATTTAACTATCTTAAAAGGAGATACGTCAAATCAAAGCTAGTGAAATTCTCCATAAACCATATATACATCGCTTTCCGATAGGGCTGATAGTTTCTGACAAATTAATTAGTCATTCCAGTTTTTTATTTTTGAATAAAAAAATGAAAAACAAAACAAACTTTAACAGAAGAAAAATTTAAAAAATAACAGGTTCTGTGCCAAGTTTTTGCATCTGTGCTAAAGCCTGTTCTGTTACAAATAAAAATTAAGTTACTACTGAAGAATATCGTTGAATAAATAAGAAATAATGAGTGGTCAAATGAAAATGCGCAAAGATTTTTTGTATGAAATATGAGCAGAAAAGCGTGTTACTCAGGTGTATGTGGCGTATGAGTAACTTTCTTTCCTGCTTATTTTTCATACAAAAAATCTTTGCGTATTTTCATTTGACCACTCATTATTTCTTATTTATTCATCGATTTTTTTCATTAGTAATTTGATGTTTTTTTTTGTAACAGAACAGGCCTTAGCACAAATGCAAAAATTTGGCACAGAACCTGTTATTTTTTTAATTTTTCAACTGTTAAAGTTTGATTTTTTTAATGATTCCAATAAAAAGAAATCAATGGAATGATTATTAGATTTGTCAGAAACTATAAGTCCTATCGGAAAATGATGTATTTACGGTTTATGGAGAATTTTATTAGCTTTCATCTGCCGCATTTTATATTAAGATTGTTAAATTGGTTCGTAAGATATACGTGATTAAAAGGAACAAATTTTTGCATTAAGCAGAATAACGCTAAATTGAAAATATCTTAAAAACGTATCCATAGAAAAAAAAACTTCATTTTAGGAATCACCGAGCAATTCTACATAGGAATTTGATAGTGGCATGCACAGAACAATTTTGCTGTAAACCAGTGTTATTAACAATCACAGCTTGATGACAGGAAGTTTCATGAATTTAAAACATGTGCTTCTTGAAATAGATACAAAAAATGCCCAAGGAATACATATATGTACATATTATACCAGCTAATACGAAAAAAACCAGCTGCTAGGAGTATTAAAAACTTAAAGTGAAATTATTGAATCGATTTACAGTACCATAATTGAGTCTGGTTGAGTCGTAAATATATTGACATCTTGAGGAATCCCTAAATGAAATTTAACTAAATATATGAAAATAAGTTAAGTAACAAATACAGCGTGTTAAGCATTGCCGCATTGCAAAAGCATAGTAACCAAACAATAATAAAGCATTAAATAAATAAAAATAAAATTTAACATACGAGCCAATATGAAACTGACTTCGCATGGAAGGCTGTTGATCAAAGAATTTGATATGGAATCCACAAATGATAAAAAATTCAATATCGATAATCAAAATCCTACCTGATAAATATGTATTTATGTATATCTAGTTTTATTTCTGCTGTTATTGTTAACGCGAAAGCGGTAGGTGAGTATGTAAATATATAAACACGTACTCTTCTATGTAGGCAGTTATACGTTGCTTCTAAATTTGATGTAATCATATGGATCTTTGAAGGCATTGTCACCGTCGCTCAATTGGGCCGCTTCATACAAGTTGATGCTCAAAATTCTGTAACCGTTTTTCCCCTGAAAATTATGTAGACACACCCAAAAGGGAAATATAGAGCGTATGTTAATCGGTAACAAAGTTCGCTGCGAGTAAATTTTTGACAAGTATGAGGTGAATAAAATTTCACTAGCTGATATGTAGGGCTCGGAATCTCATGCAAATGCATTTTTTTATTGGGCATCTTCAAATGGAAATGGTTAAGTTATCATGAAATTTCCTTCAAAATGGCATTCAATCGTTAGTGCATATTTTGCAGTAAATGCATGGTAGTGCATATTTTGGAAAAAATACCTGTTTTGCATACCTAATGCGCATATTTTACAATAAATGCATATGGTTTTTGCATATTTTTGCTCTTTTTGTTTTACAACCATTTAAATTTAGTGCGAAATCTCTTGACAAAAAAAAATTACCTTTAATCTTTTCCCAAATATTCTTCTATTTGGATAGCCAAGCGGCCATTAAGGCACTCTCTTCTACCTCTGCTAGATCTCAATTAATGGAGGACTATAGGAGAGCTGGCCTATATCTCTGATCAATACGAAACTGATTTAATATGGGTGCCGGGACATAGGGTCATTTACGGAAACGAGGAAGCGGACGAACAAGCAAGGTGCGGCTCCGCACTGAATGTGTCCCACGCAAAAATTACTGAAATTTATCACTTGAAGAGCAAGCAAAAGGTGGAACCGTACAGGATCGTCCAGGATTACCCGGCAGTTCTGGGTGTCATACGACCCACTTAAAACCAAAGCTCGCTTAGGAATGAACAAAGAAGATACCTACCAACTTACTGCAGAGTACTGGCCCGTTAGGGTACATGCCGAAAGGATTGGACTGCCCTTCAACAGGTTTTATCGCAGTTGCGATGACCCTGGCTTAAAAGAAACGTTCAAATACTGTGCGAGTATCCAGCCCTCGCAAGGATGAGGCTTAAGACACTCGCCAAGCCATTCCTGAAGAATGTTTTAGAATGCAGCTGCCTTTCTCTGAATGACGTACAAAAATTTATTAAAGCCGTCAAATGACTGCAGGTGGTACGAGTTGTGGAATCAAAATGGCATTCTTGTCACCACGATGACAATCGACTTAAACCAACCAAACATCCATCTGAACCACTATTAAACACTAGGGATGTTCTGAGATACTTCGCCGACCTAAACGCGGTTAGATCGCCGAAACAACAGCCCTTGTGGTCGGGTAAAACACGAGTCATTCCGGTACGTAGAACCGGCTGTCGTGGGAACAAAGGAGATTCGTATCCACCGATAACACTCCTTTCTCCGGTAGCGAAGACACTTGAGGCCCTGCTGCTCCCGTATTTCACGAACCACCTGACTCCAGCGAAGCATCAGCATGGTTTCCGTAAAGTGCACAGTACAACAACAGCAGTTAACGCCATAAACACTCAGATAACTCGTGGCCTTAACCGTAACCGTCCCTGTGAGAGAACGACTCTAGTAGCGTTGGACCTGTCAAAGGCTTTTGACACTGTCAGCCATTCCACGCTACTAGAAGATATAGAGGCTTCCTCTTTCCCACAGAGGCTCAAACGGTGGTCGGCAAATTATCTGAGTGGTCGACACTCGTCGGTAATGTTTAGAGACAAATCGAGCAAACTTAGGAAAATCAAACAGGGGGTTCCACAGGGTGGTGTCCTTTCCCCGCTACTGTTCAACTTTTATATTTCAAAGCTCCCTCAACCACCAGAGGGAGTCTCGATTGTCTCTTACGCCGACGATTGCTCGATCATGGCGACTGGGAATGGAATTGATGACCTGTGTTCGAAAGTAAACGGGTATCTCTCCGATCTTTCTCGCTTCTTCACTGCAAAGTGTCTAGCCCTCTCCCCTACGAAATCCTCCGCGACCTTGTTCACCACCTGGACGAAGGAGGTCAGGCTACCGCTGGGAATTCACGTCGATGATACACCAATTCCGACGGTGAATAACCCCAAAATACTCGAAGTAACATTCGACAGCCTGCTCTCCTTCTCTGCACGCGCTACCGCTATTGTCAACAAAGAACAGAGCCGCAACAAAGACCTCAAGTCGCTAGCCGGCAGTACCTGGGGCAAAGACAAAGAATCGCCGGGGACTAGTAGGACGCAGTGGATGAAGCTACAGACAGCACAGAACACCGCACTCAGGACAGCGACCGGATGCCTCCTGATGTCACCCGAACACCACCTCCATGACGAGGCGAAAATGCTCCCAATTAGGGAGCATAAAATAATGCTCTGCAAGCAGTTTCTGGTTGGGAGCCACAGATGCGGCCGCCCAAACAGACAGCTGCTTGCAGAGGAGCCCTCGCCTAGACACGTCAGGAGGTTCATTAAGCAGCCTCTGGACCCGTCAGCATAGCGACAGGCCCTTAACGGCATTCACAGGGACTCAGTCTCGAGTTATGTAGACTCTAGACCTGTGAATGCCGTTCTAGGCACACAAACACCGGGAATTGACGCGACGGAGCTCCATCTGCCTCGGGAGACAAGAACAACAATAGCCCAACTTCGCTCTGGCTACTGCAGCAGGTTAAACTCATACCTGAGTAGGCTAAATGAGGATGTGCCAAATGAGTGTCCGGCATGCGGAGAGATCCCTCACGACTCGAAACATCTCTTCGCATGCCAGGAAAACCCGACAACCCTAACGGCGTTGTCCCTGTGTACCGACCCCGTCGAGGCTGCACGCTTTTTAGGGCTGCCCTTAGTGGAACTCGACGACAACGACTGAGATATCAACCGATCTGGGCGGAGTTGTTGTAGCCGCTACAACAACAACAACTAGGGCTGTTCCAAGAATGATAGAATACAAGATTGCGCCAATCGAGCTGAGAGCAACTGGCCGTGACGTCAATAAATACCAGAATGAGAGAGCAAGACGAACTTGACAAGAAAAAGAGGAAGCATCGGACAAAAGGCGGTATTGCCAAATTTTGAATTTGAAAAAGCACCAAATTTGTATTGGTGTATTTTATAGACTTTATATGCATACATAATTTTATTGTAAGGATGCCGATTCAAATTAATATAAATCAATGTTTCTTGCACGGCGGTTGATTTCTTCTGGCATGATTGAAGGTGCTTTCACATATTTTGTTGTCGCTTATGACTGTCACTGTGCCATGATTTTGTTTAAAGNCTTTATATGCATACATAATTTTATTGTAAGGATGCCGATTCAAATTAATATAAATCAATGTTTCTTGCACGGCGGTTGATTTCTTCTGGCATGATTGAAGGTGCTTTCACATATTTTGTTGTCGCTTATGACTGTCACTGTGCCATGATTTTGTTTAAAGTTTTGTAAAGTTGCTTACCACACTTACGATTGCTATGAATTTTGCTTCCATTTTTTTTTAAGATTTTCTAATTTGGTGTCTTCAAACTAAAAACAAAAGCACCAAAAACGCGCCAAGCACCAAACTCAAAAATGTTCGCGTTTTGAATACCCACTAAATTTGGTGCGAAAAG